GGCTTTTAGAAGGAACACATGAAAGAACAATAGTACAGAGCCTCAAGCACAAACACTTAGCCACACATTTGACCTAGGAGATTTTCAAGACAGTTGTAAGCTATAATCATCATTAGACTTGTTTATATTTTTAAGAGTACTTTAGATGTTATTATTTAAAAAGGTTTCCTAACTTCACACCTGGGATAGACTGAATGTTGCTTTTCCACACATCTCTGTTTGAAATTTTCTCTAGGGCTAAAACTGTCTAGCAAGGCAAGATCATGAAAATTCATCACTTTCCTGATGGCTTTAATAAGGTTTTTTTTCTTCTAAATAGTCAGCACCTTCCGCCATGATCAAAAAGTAAAAGCAACTCTGCTACAGATTCCTGTTACATTATTTTCCATATAATTTATTCTTAAAACAACATTTAGGCTTTAATTTTAATTGGAGTTCCTTTCCTTTCTTAATAGCTTTCCTTTTTTTCCAGACTGAAAACAGACAGCATTTTTCCTTTGACAAACAACTGCTGTAGTTCTATCTTTAGCCTTCAAGTACTGAAGTCATGAAATGGAAACCTGCCTAATTCTGTTCAAATAATACTGTGGGGGGCTTGAGGACAAATGTTAGCTCAATGTGCAGAAATTTTACCAGCATTCTATCAAGCCGCATGAAATTCTTCCACATTTTTTCCACAGGTCTATAAAGCAGATTGATTACTCATGCTGCCTGCATCAGAAAAGGCTGGACACAATTTGCAGAATTTGATTTTTTTTTTTTTGTATATATTTAGCAGCATTTCAATCAACATCCATCTGATCCCCACCACTAAGAGCTCCCGGCACCTCTAGTGAGAACGATTTCATTGATGCTGCAGCAGAACTTTCATAACGGTTTACTATGGTTTTAAAGAAACATCGAAGCAACATGACACCAGCTACCCCTGACAGCTCATGCAGAACAAAAATTATAGTTCAGTTGTGCATATCCAAATATAATCTGCCTAAGGGTGAACAGTTTGTAAATCAAATAATTTGATTGAGAGAACATGCTTTTATTGTGCAGAATACAGACTTCCTATTCAATTTACCAGGTTTTGTTATACATAGAAGTAGGCATGCTCACTGTTCCTTCAGCTGAGATGCCACTGAGCAGTGGAACTCATTAACAGCAGCTAGTAACTAACTAATCAAAACCACAAAGAATCTGCCAGCCCAGGTAGAATAGGAACCCAAATTTACACCTGACAAAAGGAGTAATTAGTGAGCTTAAAGACAACAGGAAATATTAGATGGGGCACAGAACACATTAATAATTGATACACTAGAACTCTTTGTTATTCCCTTAGAGGGTTTCATTGTTGTAACTGTTAAAGTGCATTTTTTATTAGATTACCCACTAAAAAAAAAAAGATATTAAAAGCATCTTACCTATAACTATTCCAAAACGCTCACCTCCCCCCACACCCCCCCCCCAGACACAGCCTGAAAAGTTTCATCCATCATCTGCCAACTGAAGCACAGCTTTCAAACAGCTGTTTACAAACAAGGAGTTGAACTATTTATGGTGTCTCAATTTTCACTTACCATCATCATTGTTTTGCTTTAAATGGTTTATCATAAACTGAATGGGATCATCTGGCTGATGAATTATTAGTTCTTCAAGCATGTTCTGCAAATAAATAGGGCAAAGTCAGAGGAAAATTTACCATATCTAGGCAGTCACAATATATTGCATTTTTACAGCAATATTAAAATAGGGAGCTTAAAGAGCTTATGAATGTTTCTTTATTTTCTTAAGGCCCCTTTCACAGACAAAATTGAAACTATGAAAACATGAAGCATAGTGAGATAATTGTCAGTTGAAACAAAAATAACCCCATTGCTTTGGCTTATTTATGATACATATGGGCACCAGGCACTGCTTGAGCCTGGTGTCGATAACAGTTGAATCAGCATTGACACAAAAACCATACAAGGAGTTTCAAAACCAGACTCAAATCAGTATCTCTGCAGGGCAAGTTAAACCTCCTTCTCCAGCACATTCCTGCAAGCTTCTCACTAGCCTAGAGGACTGCAGAAAAGATACAACCTGCAGAAAACCCAAAACCAACAGCCAAAGCCTCAAAAGTAGCACATCTCTTTCTCATAATCATACTAGTTTTCCTCCTACATGAAAAGTAAGGGGGGGAAGTCTTAAAGCATGTCCTTGAATGTCTACTTTGGAGCTCATTTTCATATTAAATGCTTAAAGTTACACAGGGCCTTGCCTCAGCTGCCACTGACAGCAGTGGGGATGTTCCACTAATTTCAGAGAGGATTGTAGCTTCCCAGGCAGATAAAAAGTAACACTTAGAAACTCTGTAGATCTCCTTACAAGACATTTCAGCACAGCCAAGAATTCAGTCATGAACACTAAACATCAAACAGCAGCTAATGTTCTGACTTACATTACCTACTGCAATGCTCATACTGGCATAGAACATCTTTTGCTAAAAATCAACCATAACATTTTAATATTCACCAGTAAATACCATAAAGTCTGTATATTCCATAAAATGGTTTATTTTAATGATTGTCTTTTACTGGAGTGACCCATTTTCCTTTTCCACTTCATCCACTTAATTAGCATAATTAAAACACTCAATTTCATTTATAAACTCTTGCACATGCAAAATCTGATGCTTCAAGGTCTGGGCAGCAGAGAGCGCACAGTATAAAATTTGTATTTTTATTGGAAGTTCCTTTAAAATCATTACTTTCCAGCAACAATCATTTAAACTAAGAAATCTGGCACCACCATTATCAGCAGCTATCAAAATAAAAGAACTAAGAAAATCTGACCTTACTACAATTCAAACCTATTCAGACTGAAAATGACTTACCCTCACACTATTTTGTGCCCAATTCCTACCTGCACTTACATGCATGCTTCATTTTGTTCACTTCTATTAATCCCAGTTTAATTTTACATAAGTTCTGTGAATCTCGGGGGGGGTTTCATGTTTTGGGACTCATGTTTTAGGTTCGATAATTTGGGTTTTGTCAATGTTTAATGTTTAAAGTCTAGGACAATGATTTCAAGCTGTGTTTGTTTGTACCATTACAAATTGCTACAATACAATTGAAGCACAAAAAGAAAACAAGACTCTGAGTAAACCCCACAACTGTTTGATGGAATGCGAGGTCCTGCAGCCGCATTCAATACCTCATGGGATGCAAAACACAGTATTTCTATTAAAAAACACAAATATTATGCTGAACTGGTCAGAGTAATTAGACTTCGGTTACATGACTAAAAAAAAAAGAAATAAAAATAAGTATTTGTGTGTATTCCACGGAGATATTAATAAAAAGGCCTTAAAACAGAGCTGTGAGCAGCAGCGCACAGGGGAGCCTCTCTTACCAAGTTCTCGCCTCAGAGCCGCAGCACACAAACCTCCCCATGCACGACAAAAGGGCTTTCCCCAGACTTTCAAAACAAAACATACCTTTCTCTAAGGCAGGGAAAGCACTCTTGCTATTTAGTGAAATCACAACGACGTTAGAAGTGTACTTCTTTTTATTTTTGACACACACCTCCACAGAAAAGCCGCGACAGCAGCAGCAACGCGCCGGGAAACGCACTGGGACGGGCGGTGGCGACGGGCAGGCGGCAGCGGGTTACCTCAGCGCCTCTGGGGTTACCTCAGCGCCTCTGAGGGCAAACCCCTTCACCCCGGCTTTTCCCGCGCTTTGTTGCCGCCTCGCGTTTCCTCCACAGGCTACCACTTTCTTCCTCAAAACATAAGGTGTACGACCCCCAGCAATTACTAGTAGTAAGTTAATTAATTAATTTAGTTAATAATTTAATTGAGCCCTCGGCCGGTGCACCTGCCCCTCACAGGGGGCCACCGCCTGCGAGTTCCCACCGGAGTCCGGTACCGACAGCTGGGGAAAATGGCCGCGGCGCTGAGCCCCAGATGAGCCTCCTCAGGGGCCCCAGCAGGCAGCACCGCCGGTAGAGACAGTGAGGAAGCCGGGCCCCCCGCCCCGGGCCAGGCCGGCGCTGGCTTGTGCCCCTCACCATCCCCCGGCTCCTCCAGGCCGCCCCTAAGGGGGCAGTGGGGATGCCCCGCGGTGCCCCAGTGCAGACGCAGCCCGTTCACCTGCAGGAGCCGGAACAGCTCCCGCTCCTCCGCGTAGGCGCCCACCGGCGGCGGCCACGGCCCCGCCAGTTCGGCCATGGCCGCCCCTAGCAACCCGCCCTGCCGCGCTGCTGCGTTGCTAAGGACTGCGTCATCACTCCGCGACGCCTTAAAGGCGCGCCCTGCTTGGGGTAACAGCAACAGGGGACAACGTCATCCATCCCCGACGCGCCCCGCCCCGGGGGAGGTGATGCGCGACGTCGGCGCGGTTGCCAAGGAGACAGCGGCGCGTTGCCGGGGCGACGGCAGCGCAGCGGGAGATGCCGGAGAGCCCCGCGGAGCCCGGTTCGCCGCTACCGCTGCAGGCGGGCTCGCCGCTGACCGCGCCGGCCGGTAGGGACCCGCAGGGCCCGCTGAGCTGCCGCGGGGGAGAGGGAGGTCCGGGCAGCGCGGTCCGGCGGGCGGTGGGGCGGGAGGGGGCTGCAGGGAGGAAACAGACCCCTCGGGGGACTCGGGGACGGTGCGGGCCCCGGCCTCTGCAGCCTCCTTCGGCTTCATTTAACGCCAGAGCGTTTGAGGCGCTCGGGCTGTGGCTGTGTGGAGTGAGAGAAGCCGCCACCCTGCGCTCGACGTGATGTGACACCACGTTAGCTCATGGTAGACCCGCTGGGGTTTATGGTGTCTGCCTGTCAGGGTCCCCTCTGGGTTCTCTGCCTCTGCTTGCAGTATCGTTATGAACTCACTGACTTCCGTTTGGGGCTGTGGGACTGCAGAGCTGTGACACAACACATCTCCTCTTTCATACTTCTTTTTAAAAAAAGTTTTCCACTAGCCTACACAATTCAGGTGAAAGATTAAACTACACATATAGAATTGCATCATGTCCAAAAAGCAGCTTCCTCTCTCTCCTTCCCTCCCCAGATCCAGGAAGGAGAAAACATGAATGAGGTAAAGGATGCCCTCAGAAGCATAGAGCAGAACTACAAGCTCTTCCTTCAGCAGCAGTTCACGTTTATCGGAGCACTGCAACACACCCGAGAGAACGCTCATGACATGATCAGACCTGTTGCAAGCATCAGCCAGGTACAAAGGATGCAGCACAAAGTTCTTTGCCGATGAGAACAAGGGACCAGTGCGGTGCTGTCACACACTTGGGTCTAGTTCAGGGATAAACAAATGTTTCTACTAAGGGAAGATGCACAAAACCTCTCAGCAACATTTGTGTACAACTCTGCAATCCAGTGGCAAAAGTAGGTGAGAGAAATACCTGTGTTAGATCTTCCCATTTACAGAGAAGGAATTTTACTGCTGAGCATCACTTTATGATTTAGTTTAACGCTGCCATTTCACTGCTGAGGCATGGCCAGAAATCCAGGGTACAAGAAAACAAACCAACGCTCCTTCCCCAGCCACCCATGGAATGTGTAATCCTTAACTCGCAGTAACCAGCATGCCTGCCTCTTCCCCCTGGTATTGGTGCTGCTGTAGCTTTCTATACCCCTTATTAAAAATAATGGCTGTGTTACAGAGGTAGGATGATGGATTGAGGGCTGGAAGTCCCAAGTGGGCTACAGGTTTTCTGGACTGGTAAGTGAATTGTCTTGGAATTTTTATAACATGGGATGTTTTAAGTAGTGGAAAGAACTTAGACCACCTGCAGACAGAGGGGGAAGAAAAGCCTAAATCAAATTAGAATAGTGGGATTTGAGACAGCAGAACCCAGGCACAAAACCCAGATGGATGCCAAAGCCAGAGTGAAAGCCAAGCAGTTATTAGGACTGGGACACAGGAGTCAGCTGGTTGTCTTTTCTAAGGGCTGACTCTCCCTATTATAAGGGTTTTGCTCATAATACTGAAGAGGATCATGACAATCATTCCACTCCATTTTTTCCAAAAATAGGGATTGAGATTTTGTGTAACATTATGCTGTATTGAAAAGTGCCAACATTTCAGTGGTTTTAAGCCAGCTTGGACTCTGCTTCTCAGCAGAGGTGGAAGGGCTGGTTGTTGTAGGAAAGAAATCTTATAGGCAACAACTTCAGCAATTACACTGATCCGTGACATTGTGGTACAGTAACCTGTGAACTTAGTGGTGGGAAACTGTATTGCCCAGATAGCCCTGAGGGTACAAAGCAAGGTGAGGATGAGAAAGGGAAAAGAGCAAATTACCAGGGAGAACAGAGCATGGGCTGAGCACAGACTGGTGATGCACTGGGCAGGAACTGAACCACCACCAAAGTTCAGTGTGGCTAAACCAGACATTAATTTTATTTCCCTACCATTCTTCTGCATCTTTAATTTTGCCTGGGATAGCACAAGAGGATAAGCAACAAATGCAGAAATACGTGTGGTCTCAGCGTACAGCTGACTCGACTGCCAGCTTTCTTTGCATGTAGGCATAGACACTACATGAAAAAAAAAATGATAGTGTACTTCAATACAGCTGCATTTCTAATCCCTGAAAGTTGTATGTGGGAGCATTTTTGGTGTTGAGTGATGATGTTTTGCTGACAGAGCATAGTAAAGTGGAAAGGTCAAAGAACACACCTCTGCTAGGCAATGGCAAGAGCTCCTTAAAGACTTCTACATGGAGTAGGATATAAAGTCAAATCCCAAGCGGTTCTGTGAGACAAGCTCCTCAGTCATTGCTTGAGACCACCCAGTGACCCCAGCAGAGCCTGGCTGGGGTCATGACATCAGCCTAGTGTCCAGGCCACCCATGATCGCCCCTTGCTGCAGATCAGCAGCAGATGGCTAATGCAAAGCTTGGTACTTCCTGTAGTCCTGGTCCCCGTCCTGGTTACTCAGGTGCATTACCTGTTGTTGATGTGGACAGAAAGAAGCCCAGCTTATCCCACCAGTGAACATCCAGGCTAAAATGCTATTCTCTTTAGGAGAGAATACAGCAGCAATAAAATCTGCTCACAGCAAGCAATAAACAATCCTGCCACTCACAAGGGCAGGATGCTCAGTGAGCAAGGAGGAACGTGGAGTGGAAATGGACACTTAGGGCCCATTTTTTATTTTTCTTACAAACCTCTTGAGAATTTTTCTGAGCACATAATGGCTTTTCTGTATGCAGGAACTGTGCCAGTGTTGGAGCAGCTACTTGGATCTTGTCTTGAAATGCTACAGAGAGCTCTGAAGGTGTCAGAGCCCAGCTATGACTGCCAACCAGCCACTCAGTGTTTTATATTCTGACCACTCATGTCTAAAGTATCTGTAATTTCTTTGGAGGAAATACTTAATCTCTTGGCATAATGTTTCATCATGCTATGCCATTCGCTCCGACTAACAAAAATGCTCAAGGCAAATAGGGAATATCATTGCTGTGACAGTTTAGTAAGGACAATTCAGGTTAAATGAGTTTAGTTTGCAGTCACATCTAGTGGTGACAAATAAAGAACCAAGTGAAGAACGCACATGACTCCAAACTATTCCCAGCTTGGTCACTGCCCTCACCTCACACCCAGCTCTGCCCAGGCAGTTGTGGCAGTGGCTCAGGATGCCCTGCTTGGAGCAGAGAGAGAACTCTGCTCACACTCAGCCTGTTTATGCAGGGCCTGCAGCAGAGCTGTGGTTTGGCCACAGTTCTCCTATACTGCTTCAAAGAGGTAGGAAGGCTCATTGGTGTGCCGATGAGCAGATCTGTTACCCCCCTTCTTTAGTCATGATGAAGGACAAGCAAACATCTTGGACATGCTCTAGAAATCTTACTGCCTGCCACAGTGTTGTGGTTTCCCCAGCGGCTCATGCCTGCAGTCACAAAAGAAAGCAGCTTCTCCACCTTTACAGCGTAAGTCACATGTAATTTAACATGCACAACTGTCTTTCCCACATGCAGGTACAGTCCTATATGGACCATCACTGTAACAATTCCACTGACAGGCATATCCTCAACATGTTCCTAAACATCTGCAATGACCTAAGCAAGCTCTGCCAGAAGCTGGAAAGCGTGCAGCCTCGTAACAGCACAACCAATGACATTCTGGGGAGGTGCAAGGTGCTCCTCAGCCACAGCAACGACCTGAGCAGCATCCGAGCCAAGTAGGTGTCTCCATCAGCTTTGTTTCTTTGAGGTGACTGTCAGTGCTGGGGAACTGTCACAGGAATGCATATTCCCACCTGACTTTTCCATCAGTTCTGCTACAACACCCTTCTCTGGCTCTAGTGAGGGTACAAGATGCTACCCAGTTTACCATTCCAGCTGGTGGGAAAACCAGCCTCTGATCACAAAAAGGGAATTGGTTTCTTGATTCATTCTTTTTACTGGTACTTGGAAGGCAGGTTAGCACCCTGAAGTCCCATGCAACACTCAGGCAGTTTACCTTCTTCCTCCTCCTATTCCTGCTCTGCAGGAATAATTTCCATGGGGCCTTGGGTGATATGGTTTAGTGTGAGGTGTCCCTGCCCATGGCAGGGGGGGTGGAACTTGATGATCTTAAGGTTCTTTCCAACCCTAACTATTCTATGGTTCTATGATTTTAAGTGTTTGTACACACTCTTCAAGTCTTCCAGCTCCAGTCCAACAGCCGAGATGGTGTGTTTGGCAGGACTCATTTCTCAGGATGCAGTCCCATCTGTGCCTTTTTGTTCTGGGGAGATGAATGGCTGCGTTTCTGCTCTCAGGGACGCACTGTGGGCTCACCGGGGTTACACTGCTGGGACTAGTCTGCCACTTGTTTCCTTTTGTCCCACAGATACCCTCATGATGTTGTGAATCACCTGAGCTGTCATGAAGCAAAGAATCATTTTGGAGGGGTGGTGAGCCTCATTCCCATTGTTCTAGACTGCATAAAGGAGTGGATAACCCACACTGAGAAGCTGTCACGGGAGGTGCTGCAAAATGTGAGTGGTGGAAATGCTATCTCTGAGAAGTCAGCACCCCAAGGTGTACCAGACAAGGCAGTCATTTCCCAAACAGCACCTTCTGTGCACCTTGAAGTTCAGACCTCATCTAATAAGAAAGATAATGTACAAGTGCAGGGGAATAAGCACGTCTGGAAGAAGCAGCACCTCAATGACACAAAAAGTCACAGTGGGAAATGCAAAAGTCCCTGGAAACCTCCAGGTAGACATGCCTTTTAAAGGATCAAAGTTCACCCATCTCATACTTACCACCTTTAACGAGGTGGTTGAAGACAGTGAAATGATTACTAGAGATCCTGCCTATCCAAGTCCACTTTCTGAATAGTTAGCCCTCTAACCCAGCCTTGAGCAGATACACACTCTCACCCTTGCTGGTATTTCCAGCTGTATCCTTACCAGCAGTAGTTGTAACATTAGAGCTTATGCCTTTGACCAGCACTGCTGTGAGAGCAGGGAACAGTCAGGAGTAATCAGGTTCTAATCTTTCAGCCATGAATCTTAGGCAGGTTTCTTGAAAACGGGATTTTACACTTTCTCAAGCTTCTGAGGAACACCCACTCAGTCACCAAAGCCAGAGGCGTGAAGAACCTGCATGTCCGAAGAACGTGATGCAGAGCAGCAAAGCTGGATTCAGACACATGTCTGGGATTCAGGCGTGTCCCTGAAGTTCCCTCACCCCCACTGAAATTGTTTGGTCATTTGGAGCACAGAATCAATGTTTACAGGACACTAATGATGTTTCCCTTACATGCCACTGGCTACCAAAAAGGTCAGTGTGTTTTAGCTGCACCGACTGTGCTCTGCTGCATCCTTCCTGCAGGTTCTCACACAATGGCCGGCACATACCCCTCCAAACATCTTCCCTTACACCTTTTTACCTCCTTGCTGTCAGAGCTAGAGATGGAAGAGAGAACAAGCATCATTTGCACTTAGTTTGGTGCACTGACAATATCCAAACTTGGATAAAACCCTAACCCATATCATCCCCAGAGCTCTGCAAAACCAACAAAGTCATTCCCAATGTGATTCATGGGAATCTGGGGGGAGCAGAGAGAGTGAGAAAGCTGTGGCCATTTTCAGATGGTTCCTTTTCAAATTGTAAGTTAAAATGTCTGTGCTTTCTCTTTTTTGAGATGAGAATCCAGCTTGCCTAGCTTTCAAAGATGTTGTGAGGCTTAAAATTCATTAAAATTGCAAGGCATTTGAACTAGCCTCATGCTGCTTTTATACCAACACTTTACAATTCCAGCACAGTGACTTTATACCAGTGCTGGAAACAACTTTCATTCCAGCCTGCTCAGGGAGGGTCAGCAGAGCCACAGGCTCTCCCCATTCTCTGGAGCTGATAACGCATTTCTGGTGATGCTTTTATTCAAGCACAGTTAACTACAAACTTAAGATCTCAATAATATGGTGCCTTCCCTGTATGTGACTGCTCTTTTCCCCTCCCACAGAGAAGTTAGCTCCTGTTCTTTGCTTCCTGCTAGAAGATACTCCTGAATAAACAATTTCCCCTTGCATTCCTGGCTCAGTTTGCTAAAGTTGTGAGAAAACTTTTAGTTTAACGTGACCAGATTTTGGCAACCAGAAGCCAAAAAAAGAAGAATTAATGCAGAGGAGGCAGCGTAGGAAGGAATGATAGCTCAGATGAAATGGCAAGTATTTCCAGGAATATTTTGATTCCTCACGTAACCCCACCTTCTTTTGCACTTTTCCTCCCTTCCCCTATCCACTTATTCTGCAATGCAATATATCTGTCCACACTGGAGTAGAAGCCTATTTTTAGGAGACAACATGATCCAACTGCATTGAATCTTGGTGAACTCAAGTGGGTAATAAAGCTTGCCAGGGTCCCAGCAAGGCTCCCAGGCACTGCTGGGGATGCAGCCAGCAGGATGAGCCTGTTACCCTCTCAGCCTCTACTTGAGATCCCTGTTGCAAAGGCAGCTTCAGGCAGAAAAATCAGTGTTGCTCACAGCTGCCCTATTGTGTTTCACATGGCAAAGACAAGTGTCCGATGACAGTTGCTGTCTTGGAAAGTTTTTCAGTACAAGCACACGCTACATGGACTAAAAGAAGACAAGTGTTGGGGACACAAGAGATGCTGCTTCCAGATCTTGTTTCCAACCTTCCTCACCCTGTCACATAGTTTAAATTTGAACAGTCAGGCTCTGATGAGCCCTACTCTGGTCTCACTGTTCACAATGCCAATGCAGTTGTCCACTTGTGCTTGACCAAGGTCACCACACACGCAAGAAAATCCCTGAACGAATCCCTAAACCTTACCAATAATTTCTAGCCTAGCCCTATCCTTTCAGTCTTACGCAGCCAAATTTTAAGACACAAGCAGAAAAATGAGTGCATAAAACCTGCAGTCTGAGGCTTGGTAATGACATGACCAGGATCTGCTGGAAGACTGCAAAGTTAAGGCTCACAAAAACATCTAGACAAATTACTTAATTTCCATACAAGTTCTCCTCTTCCAGGGTGGATGGACACTTCAAAAGACAAAAAGATACAGCAGGAATTGTTTTTCTCTACTACAAATCAAGCCGTTTGAAGAATCTGCATAAACAGGATGTAAATGCCAAACACAGAAGTGCAATAAAGTTTAACTTTAGCCTCTGTGAGCATAAAATTGCAATTTACACACTGAGAAACCCTGCAGGGCCCCAGAGTGACTTACCCAGAGATCTGTCACTTAGTCCAGGAAATAAGTGCTGCTTTTTCATTCAAATACTGTGTAAGAGGTATGGGCTGGTAGCATTTGATCTCAACAGCATCCTGGCCTCTGCAGACTATAAATATCCTCTGTGCTCCCCTCAATTCAGCCAAGGGTCAAACGAGGCTTTTCTCAACCTGTAATTGGGTCAAAACATCCTGTAAGTGAAACACCCAGTCCCAGCACCTCACCAGCAGAGGGGATGGGATCAGGCCCCATGAGGTGAGGACCAAGCACTGGGGTGGGCTCCTGAAGACAGGAGAGGGGTGATTTGAAAGAGAGGGGGGACTCAGCATCCCCAAAACAGTACCAGAGCTGGCAGTGGGAAGTGGCAAGCTTGGCAGGGCCTCTAGTGGCTGCAGCTGGGAGGGTGTGCTTGGACTGAAAGGGATGGCAAGAAAATCAGGTTTAACCAAAGTAGAGCTCAGGGACGCAGGTTTTGTGCAGTCACCCACAAAATAAAGTTCTGTCTGAAAAGTAAAGCCTGGGTGAACAGTAACTAAGCTCTTCTTGTGAAGTTCCTGTGTGTACGAATGTATGAAGTAACTCCTGCTGATTCTCTAAATTCTTTTGTAACCTCTTTTAAAATCTACCACTGCATCAGCAGCTAAACAGTTCCAATAAATCAAGATCAAGCAAAGAATCTTCAAATTCTTTCTTTCTTTCCCTAATGTCTACTCCATGTTTATTACCTTTGATGTAAACCATCAAACACACTACTTAGCATTAGTGAGAAAGGAAGGTACTTTAGTTTTCTCTTTTTGTTCCCCCCTGGATGTACTTCTGTGGGTAATATATATCTAATTCTTTTTTTTTTTTTTTAAACTGGCAAGTACAGCTTTCCAAGGCTAAGCTTGTTAAGGAATATGCAAATGGTTTAAAATAAGGTAAAAGCAAGTCAAATTCACTTTCTGCTTTGTATTCATTTCACCTACCCCACGCTGCAGAACTCATGGAACCCCACTCAAAAGGGGCAGAACCACTTACCTGCTCTGTGCTATGCAGCTCCTGGAAGATGTTTCAATACTGAACTTGTTTCTGCGTGTTTTGTCTCAGCATGGCTTGGTCCCAGAGAGGTCAGCTTGGAGGGAATTTAACACAGAGTAGTGCAAAACAATACATTTTATTTGTTCACAGTTAAACACAAGCAACTGCCTTGACATTTTAGAACATTCTAATAAGGACAGCAAAACCTCCTTTTGGTTTAAGTTCTCTTTAGCTTACGATTGTACCATTTCCTCGTATTTCATATTTATGGCATTTAATGTGGATTGTTTAACATGCTTACAAAGAGCGAGGCAGGGAACAGATTAACTTGACAAAGACAGCAATTTTAGATTTAACTAAAAGCAGTCAGTTAAAAAAATCTGTTTCCACTTCACTGATGGGACCCCTTCAAACAAACTGCAAGTTAACTACATACAGCAGATCCATGATTTTTAGACTTAGAAAAAAAAAAAGTAATTGCAAAATTTGTTCCTCCATAATCTTTGTGGTCCATAAACAAACCTAAAGTGGTTTCCACTACTATCCCGGTGCTAAAATCCTTTTTAAAAGAAGAAAAAAGTCACCTTATCACTGAGCTTGCATTACCGCCAGGGCACTTCTGTAACTGACAACAAAGACCGCCTCTCCGCACAACAAGTGACCTCATCCTGCAAGACACTCTCCTGGGCTCGGCAAAACACAAGGACGGCTCAATGAACTCCTCCAACAAAACAGCATCCAGTGGCCGAGCCCCCTTCAAGGTCAGTGTGCAAACCGTTCACTCCTGGGGCTGGCACCCGCTGGGGTAAGGGGCAAGAAACCTTCAAATCTGACCAAAACATATGCTACCACGTTTGCTACCACTAAGTCTTAGAAAGCCTATAAACATGTCGACAAAACCAGTCTGTCACTTACAACCAACTCTCTATTTTCTATTCCATGCAGATGCAAGCTTGGACAAAACCACTGAAGTTCACCTTTACTTTCAGAGTTAGGACTGACCAACCGAAAGGACACTGAGAATAATTTAGACAGGCAGAAATGTATTTAGACCCTAGGTGTTATGGAAGAAGCAGAAAGGTGAGGAGAAGTACTGTCAGGAACAAGTTAGCATATTGCCAGCTGCTCTTAGAAAGTCTTGTTCCTATTCAGGTTAAGAAGGGATTTGAACTACAAGTGCAAGTGTACTTGGACTTGATTTATATGTGAGACAGTTTTCAAACAGCAGCTGCCACCCACAGAACATTTAAGAAAAGAGGCCATGTGTGATGCAGGGTAACTGTGAAGCCTGATATGTCTAAGTATGCCTGGACCCAGACATATCTAACATTTAAAACAAGCACACTGCCTTCCTAACAGCAGGCTCTGCTCTGTCATGAAGGAGATTGAGTCTGACCACTGACAAGCCCTGATCCCACAATCCTCCTTCACAGAAGGCTCATCATTGACTTAAAAATATGATTAACACAGGAAGGCTTCACATAGAATTCTGATCCACAGTCTGAGCAGGCTTCCTCCTCGGCCTTGTCCTCTAAGGAAACAGGATGAGGACAAAGGGCAGATACCTAAAGCCAAATTACCATTGCCGAGCTGAAAAATGTGCTGCAGTCTGAACACAACAGCACTCAAAGGAAACCATATTCTCCAAGTCAAGTCTGAAAACATATTCCCAGGAAGAATGAAGCCAATTTCTTGGACTGAAAACACAGTGGCCTGGCTCAGACCAGGAACAAAGGCCAGAATTACAAAGGAGAGTCAGGCAGCACAAGCATTTCCCTGATTAGAGAAACAAATGCTCCTCTGCAAATCTTCATAAGTTTGCAATCCTACATATGTGTTCTGCGTGCTCTCCCTACTTGAGTGAAGCTTCATCTTCCCTCTTCTCCCACCCCAACCGCTTTCCCATATGAACCAGTCTGAGGTCAGTACCACTCTGTCAGGCAAACACTTAAAATACCAAGAAGATCAGAAGCTAGTGTTTTAGTCTAGTCTCCAGCATACGTGGTCTCTTCTGCATTACAAGCTCCAGTTCCTCATTAAGTGTTTGTTCAAATGCAACTTTCCAGGAAATGTTAAGGACAATATAAACAATGATCATGAATTAGGGTGAATGAATCATTTTGCAGAGGTACACTGTTCTTTTAAACATTTAGATATTCAATCAGAGTCCAACTTAATGAAGACTGGGCTCTGAGGGACATGGGACAGTGGACAGGCAAAATGGAGACCTTTAGATGAATGCACTAGAAATTCTAGTGCTGCTTCTTTCCAGGATGAAAGCAACTGGAGTCACCTGGACAGCCAGCACAATTAACTGCTCTAAATTGGAAGCTTGCAAGGAAATACAAAGCATTCATAGTAGACTCACAAATGTTAATTTGGCCTCATATTGCACTCGAGTTCATAAATGCAGCCACTCAACTGGGGACAGGGAAAAAGGGAAAAAATACTTGCAATTGCTAACAGTTGTCCCTTCAAATTAGTACACGCTGCTAAGGACTGAATTTGAGAAAGAAGCAGGAGTTAGGCTGGGCGATTCAACTCCAGACCCAAAAATCCACTTTGCATTCATTCAGCAGCCTTCTTCTGTTTCTGGACATCAATCCTATTCCGCTGCATGAGCTAGCTGCTCAGACCAAAGAAACATAAAAGCTTTTAGTTAAACTTGCATTCACGCCTCCTGTTCTATGCCAAGAATATGAAAATAACACTGATTGACTGTCTTCCTTTTTAACTGTGGTCATGATGAGTTTCATTGTAGTCCATGATATGAAGCTGTCCAACACTGCTTTCCTGGATCTTAGGCGAGAG